CTTGGGTCTCCGCCCTCCTGCTTTAGGTGTGTCTTTGGGCCATCAAGTGCCATTGTCCCACAGGGCTTCGCTACTCAGCCTGTCCATAGCCATGCTTAACCACATTCAGAGAAATATTCAGCTTCCACACAGATTATAGATTCCTACCTACCCACACAGACATTATATACTCACATAAACAGTGTACACAGGATCAGCAAACAACAAGCTCCCATTCAATACCCCACATGGCCCCCTTCTATATCATTGTTGGGGCCAGCACCCCCACCTAGGGGTGCAGCAGCGATCTGGCTGCTTCCCTCCAATTCGGTAATGTGACACGCACGTCCCCCCATGTTGCACGTCCTCCCACCGTGTCACAGGGGGTCAGGTGCACGGCCAGACGGGGTCAGAGCAAAGATCCATCTAGCTCAGTGTCCTGTCTGCTCATGGCGGTCAGTGCCAGGGACCCATCACATGGCCCCTCCCCTGTCGCCCATGCTTAACTTCTGACAGCCAGAGGCTAGAGGCACCATTCCCGCCCAGCGTGGCTAACAGCCATTGATGGACCTGTCCTCCATGAATGTATCAAACTCTTTTGTGAACCCTGTTAAAGCCCTGGTCTTCACAGCATCCTCTGGCGAGGAGTTCCACAGGTTGACTGTGCGCGGAGTGAAGAAAAACTTTCGTTGGTTTATTTTGAACCTGCTCCCTGTTCATTTCATTGGGTGGCCCCTAGTTCTTGTGTGACGGGAACAAGTCAATCACTTTCCCTTCTTCACTTTCTCCACCCCAGCTATGATTTCACAGACCTCGATCCTTGCGCCCCTTGGTCTCCTCTTTTCTAAGCTGAAAAGTCCCTGGCTGTTTACTCTCTGCTCGTATGGAAGCTGTTCCACTCCCCTTATTTGAATTGCCCCTTTCTGCATGGTCCCCAATGCCACCGTGGTGTGTCACGCGGCGCACCGATCTGCGGCATGGTCCATGCCAGGCACTCCCAGAGAAGGCGCCTGTCCCAGAAGGCCGTGCTCCAAGCCCAGCTTGCCTTGAAGTCTCCAGCAGCAGCGAGGGTTTCAAATGTCAGAGCGAGCGTCTCCCGACCGCAGCGCATTCCAGGGCAGCCCCAGACTGAGCAGCCAAAAACGAGGCGGGACCAGCAGACCAGGGGGCGCTCCCACACCAAAGCCCGAGGTAGCCAGACTGGCCGTGGGGTTTAACAGCCGGGAAAGCAGATTTTTCCCCATTCCCAGCCTGGTGCCGCTTTGCATCCTGTTCCAGCCTGTGCCCTGACAGCTGCTCCGCAGTCCAGTCCTGGTGCCTGCCCAGCTGGGACCTTGGGGCACCCTGGCTCGGCCCCCATCGGCCTCTCCCCGCTGTGCACCCTCTAAAGCCAGCCGGGTCTCTTCTGGCCAGCGAGTCCTTCAGAAGCAGCAAACCCTTCGCCAGTGACTTCCTGTCCACGTTGGGAGAAGCAGCTTAATCAGATGCCCCAGAGCGGTGCGGTTAGCGCTGGGCATGGGCCAAGACTCGGCCTTCTTCCTCCTTTCCCACCAGGACCATGAAGCAGGGTTGCAAGTAGCACCCCCGCAATTGTGGTTCTGGCAACCGTCGTCTGGGGCACGCGCGGCCGCTGCAGCAGGGCG